ACCCTTACTGAACACTCCCACCCACCCACGGCAACACAGATTATTCTCAAATGCACATGGAACACACACCGAGATAAACCATATTGTGGTTCAAAAACAAAAAAAAACCTTAGCAAATTTAAAACTATCAAAGTTGGCCAGGCACAGTGGCTCACGCCTATAATCCCAGCACTTTTGGAGGCCAAGGTGGGTGGGTCACCTAAGGTCAGGAGTTCTAGACCAGCCTGGCCAACATAGTGAAACCCGTGCTCTACTAAAAATACGAAAAATATCTGGGCATGGCTGGGGGCACCTGTAATCCCAGCTACTCAGGAGGCTGAGGCAGGAGAATGACTCAAACCTGGGAGGCAGAGGTTGCACTGAGCCAAGATGGCACCACTGCACTCCGGCCTGGATGACAAGAGTGAAACTCTGTCTCAAAAAAAAAAGAAAATCGAAGTTATAAACTACGTTCTCTGACCATGATGAAATTAGAAATTAAACTAGAAATCAGCCGGGCGCGGTGGCTCAAGCCTGTAATCCCAGCACTTTGGGAGACCAAGATGGGTGGATCACGAGGTCAAGAGATCGAGACCATCCTGGTCAACATGGTGAAACCCCGTCTCTACTAAAAAAATATTAAAAATTAGCTGGGTATGGTGGCGCGTGCCTGTAATCCCAGCTACTCAGGAAGCTGAGGCAGGAGAATTGCCTGAACCCGGGAGGCGGAGGTTGCGGTGAGCCGAGATCGCGCCATTGCACTCCAGACTGGGTAATAAGAGCGAAACTCCGTCTCAAAAAAAAAAAAAAGAAATTAATCTAGAAATCAATAACAGATATCAGGAAAGTGTCCAATCACTTGGAAATTAACACACTCCTAAATAACATAATCCATAGATCAAAGAGGGAGTTTCATGGAACTTCAAACATATTTTAAACTGAATAAAATGAAAATACAACATATCAAAAATTGAGATAGCTAAACAGTGCTCAGAGGGAAATTATAGCACAAATGCTTACATTAGAAAAAAAGAATGGTTCAAGACAATAATCTTCTGCCTTAAGAAACAGAAAAGGAGGAGCAATATAAACTTAAATCAAGCAGAAGAAAGGAAATACACAGGAGTAGAATTAAAATAATTCAAAAAAGAAAAATTATGAAACAAAAAGCTGGTTCTTTGAAAGAATGAAATTGATAGACCTCCAGCTAGCAACACTGATGAGCAAGAGGACACAAATTACCCATATGAGGAGTGGCAGGGTCATCACTACAGACCCTACAGGTATTAAAAGGACAGCCAGGAAGTACTTTGACTGATTGTATTCACATCAATTTAGCAACTTAGGTGAAATGGACCCATTCCTTGAAAGCCATAAACTATCAAAACATTAAATAGGTAACTTGAACAATCCTATAAACTATTAAAGAAACTGAATTTGTACTTTAAAACTTTTCTACAAAGAAAAGTACTGGCTCAGATGGTTTTACCACCAAATTATACAAAATATTTAAAGAAGAAATTTAATACAAATTCTTCCAATCCCTTCTACAAAATAAAAGGCCGGGCGTGGTGGCTCAAGCCTGTAATCCCAGCACTTTGGGAGGCCGAGGCGGGTGGATCACGAGGTCAAGAGATCGAGACCATCCTGGTCAAAATGGTGAAACCCCGTCTCTATTAAAGATACAAAAAATTGGCTGGGAATGGTGGCACGTGCCTGTAATCCCAGCTACTCAGGAAGCTGAGGCAGGAGAATTGCCTGAACCCGGGAGGCGGAGGTTGCGGTGAGCCGAGATCGCGCCATTGCACTCCAGCCTGGGTAACAAGAGCGAAACTCAGTCTCAAAAAAAAAAAAAAAAAAAAAAAGGACACCTTCCCAGACTCATTTTAATAAGCCCAGCATTATCTCCGTACAGAAAACAGGACTAAAAAAGAAAACTACCAATCTTTGTTGAATACAACTGCAAAAATCCTCCACAAATACATTTGATGCTCATTATCCGCGGCAGTTACATGGTATAAAGTTGCTGCAAACACTAAATTACTGCTCCTAAGGGAAATAGAAAGTCACATTCCTACAAGCCTCTGGTCACGTTTTTGTCAAATGATCAATATATTAATAAAACCTTCTTTTAGGGGCCGGGCGCGGTGGCTCACTCCTGTAATCCCAGCACTTTGGGAGACCCAGGTGGGCGGATCACGAGGGCAAGAGATCGAGACCAGCGTGGCCAACACGGTGAAAACCCGTCTCTACTAAACACAAACATCAGCCGGGCGTGGCGGGAGCCTGTGGTCCCAGCCACTCGGGAGGCCAAGGCCGGAGACTCGCTTGAACCCGGGCGCCGGAGGTTGCCCCAAGCCCGGCGCCCTGCAGAGGCCGGGACCCCCATCGGCGGCGGCCCTGGGACCTCGGGGAGCCCGGAAACGCGGAGTGTCTGTAATCGGAAGACGACGGACGGCACGAGGGCTGCAGGCGCCTCCGCCCCCGCCCCGGGCCCGGCCCTCGGGGTCACCTGACTCCGACCTGCTGGGGCCGGGCGGCGAGGGGCAAAGTCCGAGCCCGGGGCGGGGGCGCTGCCGCGGCCGTGGGAGCCCCCGCGGTTCTGCCCTCGCAGCTGCAGGTTCCTCCGAGGCTCAGGGCGCTGCCCTTCCCTCTCCTGCCGCCCATCCCCGGGGCGAGCTGGGACGCGGGGGCCCAGGGCGGGCGACTTTGGGCGTGGGCCTCGGAGCCAGGTGCGCAGCGCAGCGCCCGCCGCCCGGTCCCACCCCCGTGCAGGGAGAGGCTGGACGCCGGGTGCGCCGGACACAGCGCAGCTTCCTCCTGCTGCTTCCAGGTGGGCGGCCAGCCCGGGTGAGGTGCTGAGGGGCTGGCCTGGGGGATGGGCTGCCCTGGTCTTGGGGGCTGTACTAACCTGGGGGTCTGTTCCTGTCTGTGGGGCTGTTTTGGTCTGGGGGGGTGCTCTGGTCTGGGAGCGGGTCTGTTCTTGTCTGTGGGGCTGTTTTGGTCTGGGGGGCTGCTCTGGTCTGGAGGAGCTGTTCTTGTCTGTGGGGCTGTCCGGGTCTGGGGGGCTGTTCTGGTCTGGGGGGTTTTGGGAGTGTGGGGGAGGTTGCCCCATCCTCTTTGCCTACCTGGAGACTCAGGTCTGGCAATCTCAGGTGGCTACATCTTCTGGTTGTGGGGTCCCTGTGTTCCTGGTCCCTATCACCTGTTTGTCCCTACGAGGTTAATTGTGGCCTGGGTGCCGGTTGGTAACACAGGCTGGGCCCTGTCTGGGCCCGGACTGGCCACCTGTCCTCTCTGAGCCTCTGTTATCTTCTCTCCTTAAAATGGGCTTATATCCCTACACAGAATTGTGTGAGGACCCCAAAGCGTGTCCTACTTTCCATGTGCACAGGAGCCCCAGGTCAGGACCAGGGCAGCACCCACGGCTGCCACTTTTCTGGGGACACGATAGGACACAGGTCCCTGGGCTCGGGTGCCCGGACCTCCCTTGGAGGGCAGTTTCAGGCTTTGACCCCTCCTCCGGGCTGTGAGGGACACAGGGTCAGCCTGGAATAGTTTGAGAGCTGAGACCTCTCGCTGGGCCTCCGGGCAGAGGAGGTTGGTACCTCAGCCACAGAACTGAGGGAGCTCAGGCCTCTCAGACAGCATTCCTGGGTCCACCTCCTGCCCAGAGGGCATCTGGCACCAGCTAAGAAGGTGCACAGTCAGATGAGAGGCCTTTAGGGCTGGATTTCCAGTGAAACTGTGTTAAAAAGCCCCAAGCTTGGCCTTTGGTTGAAAGCTGCTTCCTAAGATGACTGGCCTCACCCTAGTTTCTCCTGAAGCCCAGTAGTCCCAGGCAGCCCCTCAGGGCTCCAGAGAGAAACCTCCACCCTGGGAGAGCCCACAGAGAGGAGGCAGAGCCCTGGGACCCCAGTGCAGGCTGGAGTTGGGGCTGCTCCTGAGGAGGGTAGCATGGGAGAGGTGCGGCAAAACGTGGGGACACAGGGTAACACTGCCACATGGTGGGGGCAGCTCCCCAGTCCCATCTGAGAGGGTCCAAGGGGGGCTACTTATATCCTGCTGGGCCTGAAGAGGCTCCTGCTGCCCCCGACAGGCCCCTCTGATGCCCATGGCACTCCCAGCAGGTGTGGCTCCCAGGGAGTGGTCCTTGGCCACCGGAAGCTGTCTGAACCCCAGGACTGCCTCTAAGGCAGTGGCTCTCCAGGCGTGGGTCTCCAGGGAGACGGGGAGCAAAGCCCTTGCCTCTGGAGGGTGGTGTGGGGACGCTGAGTGCATTCTGGGTGCTCATGGCCACCCCCTCACAGGAACCAGTCCCACCTCTGCCATGGGGCTATCCCGGAAGGAACAAGTCATCATGGTCCTGCTGGGGGCCTCGGGGGTCTCGGGCCTCACCGCACTCATCCTCCTCCTGGTGGAGGCTGCCAGTGTGCTCCTGCCCGCCTACATCAAGGTGCGTCCCCGCCAGCAGGGGAGGCTGGGCTGGGCCCACAGGTGCTGCCTCCCACTCATCCCACTGTCTCCCCAGTTTGGGATTGTGTTTGACGCCGGCTCCTCCCACACGTCCCTCTTCCTGTATCAGTGGCCGGCGGACAAAGAGAACGGCACGGGTGTGGTCAGCCAGGCCCTGGCCTGCCAGGTGGAAGGTCAGTGGATAGTTCCACAGCCTGGTGCTGGGACCCGCCATTGCTGCCTGGCTGGGATTCCCAGCTGCATGGAAAGAGTTTGGAGGGGCTAAATGACCTGGCCAAGGTCACACGCCAGGCATGGGTGCTGGGCCGGTGCCCAGGTCACCTGGTGGCACTCTGGGGACCTCCCTGCCTGATCCTGATTCTCACAACCTGGCCCGGGTCTGCCCTGCGTCTGCTGCCTCCGGCCCTGACCCTCTCCAGCCCCTGGTGCTTCCCACCCTGGCACCATGCAGTGCTGGCGGCCAAGGCTGGTAGCTGCAGGGGTGCCTGTACTCCAAGAGGCCCCAAATTTGTTTTCTGGGGGCTCTAGTAACAAATTACCACAAATTGGAGGCTTAAACCACAGCCATTTATTTCCTAGCATTCTAGAATGAAAACAAGGTGTGGACAGGGCTGCACCCTCCAGAGGCTCCGGGTTAGAGACCCTCCTGCCACCTCCAGCCGGGCAGCCCTTGGCTGGTGGCCACACCAGAGGTCAGGTGGTGGTCACGTCTTTGGGGGCTGCCTTTCAGCCCAACCAGGCTGTGGAGTCTGGAGCTCTGTCCCGGGTGTGTTCCAGGCCCTGGAATCTCCTCCTATGCTTCGGACCCGGCACAGGCCGGTGAGAGCCTGCAGGGCTGCCTGGAGGAGGCACTGGTCCTGATCCCAGAGGCCCAGCATCAGAAAACACCCACTTTCCTGGGGGCCACAGCTGGCATGAGATTGCTCAGGTGAGGCAGGCATGGCCTTGGCACCCACGGGGAGTGGCTGCAGGAAATATGGTCTCCACCCTGGTGGCAGGCAGGCTGGGGCTGGGCCCAGGCTTCCAGCCAGCTCCAGCCCCTGGTCCTCTGTGTCCAGACAGAAGAATAGCTCTCAGGCCAGGGACATCTTTGCAGCAGTCACCCAGGTCCTGGGCCGGTCTCCTGTTGACTTTTGGGGTGCCGAGCTCCTGGCTGGGCAAGACGAAGGTGCCTTTGGTTGGATCACCGTCAACTACGGCTTGGGGACGCTGGTCAAGGTGCCACAGGCAGCCCAAGGGCGGGGGCTGGTCTGTGAGCGGCCAGTGTTGGGCTGGTGACCAGGGCGGGTCCCAGTGGCTGCTCTGGGCTGAGTGCCCCCTTCTGTGCCCAGTACTCCTTCACTGGAGAATGGATCCGGCCTCCAGAGGAGATGCTGGTGGGCGCCCTGGACATGGGGGGGGCCTCCACCCAGATCACCTTTGTGCCTGGGGGCCCCATCTTGGACAAGAGCACGCAGGCCGATTTTCGCCTCTATGGATCTGACTACAGCGTCTACACGCACAGCTACCTCTGCTTTGGACGGGACCAGATGCTGAGCAGGCTCCTTATTGGGCTGGTGCAGGTCAGCCAGCCCAGGGGAGGGCGCACGGGGCTGAGGGAACAGAGCTACGGGCATGGGGCTGGCGCGGGTGGTCCAGACCCAGGGAGGGTGCACAGAACTATGGGTGCGGGGCTGGTGTGGGTTATCAGGCCCAGGATGGAAAGGACTGTGGGTATGGGGCTGGTGCTCAGGCCTCCCTGCCCTCTGCAGAGCCACCCGGCTGCCCTGCTCCGTCACCCCTGCTACCTCAGCGGCTACCGGACCACGCTGGCCCTGGCCCCCTTGTACAAGTCACCCTGTGTCGACACCACACCTCCTCTGGGCCTTCCCCAGAATCTTACAGTTGAAGGGACAGGCAACCCTGGGGCCTGCGTCTCGGCCATCCAGGAACTTTTCAACTTCTCTGCTTGCCAGGGTCAGGAAGACTGTGCCTTCAACGGGGTCTACCAGCCCCCAGTACGGGGCCAGTTCTATGTGAGCACCCACACCACCCCCGCCCTGGGTTCCTGGCTTCCTTGTGGGGCCCTGGGTGCCTGCCTGACTCCAGCAGGCCCCGGAGAGGCCTAGGTTGGCTCTTGGCCCAGGTGGGTGGGGTCTGACCCATATGGCCACAGCCCCCTCTCCTCCTGCCTAGGCCTTCTCCAACTTCTACTACACTTTCCACTTTCTGAACCTCACCTCCGGGCAGCCCCTGAGCACTGCCAACGCCACCATCTGGGAGTTTTGCCGGAGGTCCTGGAAGCTGGTGGGTGGGCCCTGGCTACAGTGAGGGTTCCTGAGGGTGCAGGGCTACCCTGGACAGGATGCTGGAACCTCATTCTGGGGAGAGTGGCCAGTAGGGCTGGGGAGGCATGGACAGAGGACAGCTCCAGGTAGGAGGCTGGGGCCACGGCTGCAACTGAGCCCAGCCTCTGGCCTGCTGAGGGGGCTGCACCCTGTACCACTTGGCTGGTCAGTGGAGCCCCACGGGGACAGCGGGAAGGGGCCTCTGCTACTGCCCAGCACCCCCTCTTGTCTGGGCACTCAGGTTGGCCAGGGCAGATAGGCAGTCCCAGCGTGACCAGGGATCAGGGCCCTCACCTGGCCCCTTGACCTCCTGCACCCCAGGTGGAGGCCAGCTACCCTGGCCAGGACCGCTGGCTGCGTGACTACTGTGCCTCAGGCCTGTACATCCTCACCCTTCTTCGAGACGGCTACGGCTTCAGTGAGGAGTCATGGCCCAGCATCCAGTTCCGAAAGCAGGTGACCACCTCCCCAGGGCGTGGGCAGGGTGTTGCCCCGGGGTAGCTGCCCTGCAGCCCTGAGCAGCTGTGTGTCCCGCAGGCGGGTGGCATTGACATCGGCTGGACGCTGGGCTACATGCTGAACCTGACTGGGATGATCCCGGCTGAGGCGCCGGCTCAGTGGCGGGCAGAGAGCTACAGCGTCTGGGTGGCCATAGTGGTGTTCCTGGTGCTGACCCTGGTGGCAGTGCTGGCGGCTGCCGCGATTCAGCTCTTCTGGGTGCAGGACTAGCAGGAAGGCAGAGGCACGCCCCGCAGAACCCTCAGGCAGCTGCGCCTGGGATGCTGTCGGCTTCCCAAGCCCCGAGCGCCATGGGGCCTTGCTGTGTGTCTCTGCCCACCCTCAGGTGACAGCCACCGATGGGGCACCCTCAGGGTGCTGTGTGGCCTCCCCTCCCGGCATCCCTGGGGCCCTCCCCACTGGGCTTCCAGGGCCCTGGATGCCTTTCTGCACACCGGCCACCAGGACTGCCGCGCCTCCAGGCTGTGTGGCTGCGGGGCCTCAGGAGGGGCAGCTGGGGCGAAGAGGAGGGAGCTGCCCCGCCCAGACCCTGATCTCCTTGCTGTTGTCTGAGCAGATGGACAGAGTCAAGGCCCAGGGTCTCTGGGCCAGGCTGCCCTCCCACACCCCCTTGGAGGGTTGGACTGCAGTGGGATGTTGCTTTTATTAAAACCATTGTGGACACAGCATTGCTAAGGCTGATCTCCCTGCTGGGACTGGGGCAGGTGGCCCGGGGTTCCCGACATTCGAGGGTGAGCAGGAACCACGAAGCACTTGGGGAAGATGCCAATGCGGCCGTCACAGTGGCCCTCCAGCCACGCCTGGTCCACTGCAAGGGGGAAGGTGGGCTCTGCAGGGCATTGCCTGGGTGTGGCCTCTGGGTGCCATCTGCTCACGGCACAGGCTCAAGCCCTGATCCCCCCGACACCACGGGTGCCCCAGTGCTGCTTGGGAAGGGCCACGCCCACTCTACCTTCACACAGGACGTCCACCGTGGCCCCCTGTCTGAAGTCCAGGTCCTCTGGCCCCTGAGCTGAGTAGCCATGCTGGGCCACCACCTGGTAGAGGACCGGTCGGCCCCCAGCTCCCTGCAGCAGAAGCGTGGGCTGCAGGGCAGGTGATACTGGGAGGAGGGGTGTCCCCGCCTCTGCCCTGCCCCACCGTCACCTCACCCTGCACTGCAGTTGCAGTCCCCGGGGGCTGGCGGCCGTGTCCAGCCAGGCCCTCTGCAGTGACTCCTCCCCGGGGATGGGGACCCAGCGCTCATCCTCACCTGGGGCTTGGTAACTGCAAAGAGATTCCTCAGAGGGGGCTGTGTGGGTGGGGCCTGCAGGGAGGACAGTGACCTCTGCCACGCCCTCTTCCAGCAGCTGCCTCAGCCAGGGTGGTGCCCAGCGCAGAACCCACCCCCACCTGAGCCGGGCCCTCCCACCTGAGTTGTCCCAGCTGGGCCTGGTGAGGGAGAGCCTGGCCCAGCAGTGCCCGAAGGCTGGACAGGTCGGCACCTCTTCGTGTCCTCAGGGCCACGGTGAAGGCGCACTGCACGGTGACAGTCACCAGCGGCTCAGCGTACCCCGCACCTGCTCTCTGCAGCCAGGAGGGGGAGGGATGACCGTCTTCAGCCCCAGGGGTGTGGGCACAGGCTGGGTGGGGAGGAGGGGCTAGCAAGGTTTGATTCTGAGGGATGGTTTGGCCTCGGCCTCCCTCCGGTGGCTGATAGGTGAAGGGTCTGGAGCCTCTTACCCCAGCAGCTGCTGGGTCCTCAGAGGGGCTGGGGCCAGGTGCCCCCGTTGCTGGCGGCCCTGCAGGACAGAGCAAGACTGACACAACCTCTCCCACTAAATCAGGCCCTGTGGGTGGAGGAGCAGTGGGCACTGTGCACTAGCAGCTTCCTCCTCACCCACGGACCCCACCGCTGGGGACCCCCATACCTGGAGACAGAGGAGCTGGTTTGCCATCTTGCTCCATCTGGGGCCTCTGCAAGGGAAGCACAGGTGGTAGGATGGGGCCGACAGGTGCTGGAGGCCGGGCACCACCCTAGCAGAGCCCATGGGCAAGGGTGTGGCCTGTGTGCTCAGCCATTGCCCTGCAGGCAGCCTGCAGGAATTGAATTCAGAGCACCGGCCACAAGTGGGCTGCCTCAGGATGGGGCTGGGTCCCTGTAGGCCTAGAGGCTGCCTGTCACCAGCAGGGAGCAGCCCATCCCTCCAGGCCCACTGAGGTGGCAGCTGCAAGTGGGTGGGATCCCCGGTGACCCCAGGAAGCTCAGGACCCAGTCCCTGGCCCCTGTGTGGGCTGGATGTTTACCATGTGCCCTGAGTTGGGCACCCTCTCACCTGGCTGGCCCTGTCGAACCCCAGTGAGTTGCTCCCTCCGCCCTGGTGCTGGTTCCACTGTGGTCCCCAGCCTGAGGAAGCAGCAGGAGCTCCGACCCCGAGTAGGGAGAGGCCCTGTCCACGCACCTGCTCTCGGTAGGCAGCCAACGTGCAGCACTCAGCACTGACCTCTGTCTCTGCGTGGAGGGCGCCCTGCTGGGTGCCAGCTCTTTCGGAGTCCCTGACGGGGGTGCCGGGGAGACAAGGGCAGCTCTCAGACCCTGCCCATCTCAGTGCCCTCCTGTGCCTGGCCGCACCTCGTAAAAGGCAGGCCGGAGGTGCAGCTCCAGGGATTGCTCTGTCCCTCACCCCCATGACACCTGGAGCCCCGGCTGTCTCTATAGCCCCATTTGTGTTTGGGGGTCCCCTGGGGGGCTGGGCCACCTCCCTAGGCTGCTCCCTGGCCTTTGGTGCTGCAGGCAGTCACGGTGCCACTGTGGGTCTCAGCTGCCTCCCAGTGCCACCCCCAAGGCATGGGTGTCCCCACCTCCCTGAGGGGCAGTTTTAGGGAAGGTAGAGCTGGGGACAGGACAAGGGGCAGAGAGAGAAGCCGGGCTCCCCTTCCCAAGCTCTGGGCCCCAGACAGTCTCTGTCTGGAAACAGGTCGTGCCGTCCTGTGCCCGGACCTGGAGTGGCCCCACATGGAGGTCCTCTGCCCAGCAGGAAAGGGAGGCGCTCTCGGGGCCCAGCTGGGTCCTCCTACCTGGCATCACGGTTCACTCCCGCTCCCTGTGGACACAAAGCGCCAGCCTGCTCTGGTTTAGGGTCAGGGCCGCCCTCCCTCCTCCTGAACCCCGAAGACAGTTTCTCCAGGTCTCACACAGGGAAGGGGCGGGCACCCCACATCTCCCAGCAGAGGAACTTTGGGGCCCTGGGAGGGCCTGGAGCTTGTGTGGCATTTTCTTTCCCACAAAGCTGGGTGAGGCCAGGCAGGGGCCTAAGGGGCCGCAAACTCACCTGCGGCTGCTGCAGGCGGACGGCCCAGCGCTGGTCATCAGGGATGGCAGAGGACACCACCTGGCAGGGACAGGGGTGCTGGGTCAGAGTCAGCAGCCGGCGACGTCGGCTCCCCACAGAGCCCGCTCCACCACGCCCTGCAGCTCTGAGTCTCCCGGGGGCTGGGTGACGGCTGCCCACACCTGGCCCGTGTTTGCCAGGCCACCGTGGAGGGGAAAACCTGTTTGACGGAGGGAAGCATCTGCTGGCAATGTTAACCTAATTTTAGTACAACTTTAAAAATATTTTTTTTCTTATAAACAGCCCTCCACTGTGACACGCGGACTTCAAGTTGATGCATTAACCCTAACCCTAACCCTAGGACTCCCGCTCTGGGTAGCTGTACCCAGCCACACAGGTGCAAGTGCAGGTGACTGACGGGGTGTGGCCAGCCAAGGTGACCCCATTGCCGCCCCCCAGGAGTTCTCCTCCACCACATTTGGCCCCCTGCCTTTCGGGATGAGCAGCTCCCTATTCCTCTGACTTTAGGGGTTCTGCCTGGCCCTGACCCAAGTGTGGGCGTGACATGGCCCAGACCGTCAGACTGCAGGCAGAACCCCCGAGAGACCTTGCTATCTGTGGCAGAGACACAGGGAGACACAAAGGCACAAAGGGATGCAGAGAGACTTGGGAACTCTGGGAGGACTCGGGGGGACTCTGGGAGGATGGGGGAGGCTCTGGGAGGACTCGGGGGGATGGGGGGACTCTGGGAGGACTTGGGAAGATTCGGGGGGACTCTGGAAGAATGGGGGGACTCTGGGAGGACTCAGAGGGACTCTGGGAGGATTCGGGGGGACTCTGGAAGGATGGGGGGACTCTGGGGCCCCATCCTCTGGGGGGACGGGGGACTCGGGGAGGATGGGGGATGTGGGGACTCGAGGGGATGCGGGGACTCCGGGGGGATGTGGGGACTCTGGGGGAATGGGGGGGTTTCTAGGAGGATGGGGGGGACTCTGGGAGGACTCAGGGAGACTCTGGGAGGACATGGGGACTCTGGGAGAATGTGAGGTTGTGTCTGTGGCCGAGGCTGGGTGGGGGTGGCACCACGGGGTCCTTGCTGGGAGAGCAGAAGCCCCCTCCATGCAGCTGGCTCTAGTGGGCTCCGCCTCCAAGTTCACAGCACCACCCCCCCACTCTGGGCACAGCTTCCAGGTGGCTGTGGGCCCACTCCCCACCCTCCTGGTCTTTGTGGTGACCTGGGCTGTACCCCCATGTCCCTGGGAACACAGTTTGAGGGCTCAGCACCGGTGTGATGCCCAGGACACTGCCCCGCACATTTACCTTGGCCTTGCCCAGGAAATCCACGGGCTCCAGATGGTCCAGGTGCCGCCGGTGGGGCCGGAAGACCTCACCCCTGGGGACCTGCCTCAGCGGCAGCAAGCTCTGTCTCTGGAGAGGGTGGGCATCCAGCAGATGCCGACCAGGTGACCAACCAGGCCTGCAGCCCAGAGCCTCTGCGCCTGGCAGCAGAAGGAGCCCCATGGGCCCCTGCCCCTTCCCGCAGGCCAGGTGAAGCCCCCACCTTGCCCCCAAAACTGGGCACTAGGGCACCTCCCTCTGGAAGCTGCTTCGGCTCAGGAAGCTGGTCTTGAGGGGCTGTGGTAGACATAGACACCCACCCAAAACCCAGACCCAGGATAGCACTCCTCACCTGCACTTGGTCCAGAGCTGACTCCAGGCCATTCAGGGACCCCTCCGGCCAGTTGGATATGGCCTCCCTTAGGCTGCTGGCCGCCTCTGTCCAGAGCCCCAGTTGGCACTGTGCTGATGCCACATTGTATAGCACCTGGGAGCGAAGCCAAGGTGATGGCAGGGGCTTGACCCCCCCACCCAGCCCCTCCCTGGGCTCCTGCCCCAGCTCCCCCACCCAACTCCTCCCCCCTCCCCTGGCCCCTCCCCTGTACCATTCTATACCCTGGGCTGGTACCACCCCTCCCACCGCCCCCCACCCCGCCCCCCGGCTTTAACCCTGACTCCAGACCCCTTACCTAGTGAACTCTCCCATTTTTGCATTCTAAGACAATGCTAATACCACAAGGCTTCAGGGCAGCGCATCTCGTGAGGTCTGGTAGGGACCCTCCCTTAGTGCCAACATGTTCCAGGCAGCCAGGAAAGGGCTGGGCACACAGTGGACGGTGGGCACGACCCCTGCCTGATCCTGCCCACCCAGCAGCCTTTCGCCTCTGCCCTTCTCCAGGGTAGAGCCACCCCTGGTGGCCTGAAATGGCACAAAATGGGGGTCCCCCCACCTTCACTGCTACCAGAACCCTCCTGCAGGTCATGGAGTGTCCAAGGGGTTCCATGGCACCAAGAGCCTCAGCCAGAGGCGCTCCCCTGCCCGAGGGCCCTCCAGTGATGGTGCCACTCCCAGAGGACACCCACAGCAGTCAGCACAGTACGCCCTGCCCCCTCACCTCCCAGGCCTGCAGCTTGAACCGCAGGCCCAGCTGTGTGTAGTCGATGGCAGCATGGCCCCTCAGCTGCACCAGGGCCAGCTGGAAGTCAGACAGAGCTTCCTGGAACCTGTGGGCAGCCAGGGTCCCTCAGCAGTGCAGGGCAGCTTTCAGGCCCAGCCCTGCGCCAGCCTCCCCCTCCCCCTGCCTCCAAGGAGACCTGGGGGAGGGCAGTGAGGTGCCCAGGTCTCCACACTCAGGTCTGGTGGGCACTGAGCATATGTGGGGTCGCTCTGTGCTGGGGTTTGAGCCTTTTCCCAGCTCAGACTGCGCTTCCTGAGCCCTGCCTGCACCCCCCGCACCCCCTACCTCTCTTCTGAACTGGGCAGAGTACCCTATTTCCCTACTGCTTCTCAGCCCCCTCCCCACCCTGTGGGGGCTCCCCCTGCAAACTCTGAGCCTCCTTCCAAGCCTCAAGCCTCGCTGGGAGGAAACTCACCTCCCCAGGCAGGCATTCCCTGCTAATCTGAAGGTGAGGCTGCCCCCGGGGGCTAGACCCTAATCCAGAAAGGCACAGTCCTGAAGTCAAAATCCCAAAGGCCAAGACTTCCTCAGTAAAGGAAGAAATGGACTTTTTGTTCCTCTGCCTTTATGAAAGAGAAACTGTCTTGAGACCCTGCCTCTCTGGGTGGCTGCATATGATGGAGCTTGTTAGAAGACGGGTTGTTCATCCTAGTGTTTTGATGACTCCAGTTATAAAGCCAGGTGCACACAACACCAGCCATAGTCTCTCACGCACGTGCGTGTTCCCGTCTCACCTACGCACATGTGTGTTCCCCGTCTCACCTATACACACGTGTTCCCATCTCACCTCCTAAGCACACATGTTCCCCTTCTCACCTCCTATGCATACGTGAGTTCTCCCATCTCACCTACGCACACGTGTTCCCCTTCTCATCTCCTACGCACACTTGTGTTCCCCTTCTCACCTCCTACGCACACATGTTCCACTTCTCACCTCCTATGCACACGTGTGTTCCCCTTCTCACCTCCTATGCACGTGTTCCCCTTCTCACCTCCTACGCACATGTGTTCCCCATCTCATCCCCTTCTCATCTCCTACGCACACTTGTGTTCCCCTTCTCACCTCCTACGCACACGTGTTCCACTTCTCACCTCCTATGCACACGTGTGTTCCCCTTCTCACCTCCTATGCACGTGTTCCCCTTCTCACCTCCTACGCACATGTGTTCCCCATCTCACCTATGCACATGTGTGTTCCCCTTCTCACCTATGCACACGTATTCCCCATCTCACCTACGCACACGTATTCCCCCATCTCACCTATGCACACACGAGTCCCTCATCTCACCTTACGCACACGTGTGTTCCCCATCTCACCTATGCACACGTGTGTTCCCCTTCTCATCTCCTATGCACGTGTGTTCCCCTTACCTCCTATGCACGTGTTCCCCTTCTCGTCTCCTATGCACACACGAGTTCCCCATCTCACCTACGCACGCGTGTTCCTTTTCACCTATGCACGTGTTCCCCTTCTCACCTCCTATGCACACGTGTGCTCCCCTTCTCACCTATGCACGTGTTCCCCTTCTCGCCTCCTATGCACACACGAGTTCCCCATCTCACCTACGCACACATGTTCCCCTTCTCACCTCCTATGCACGTGTGTTCCCCTTCTCACCTCCTTTGCACATGCGAGTTCCCCCATCTCACCTACGCACGTGCGAATTCCCCTCCTGACCCAGCTCATCATGATCACAGTTCATCTGTTGGTGGCTCTCATGCCTGTGAGCCTGTCGCTAACATGCATGAGTTTGTGCTTGAAAAAATATGTATGTATGTTATTTTTGCCTATTTTATTGGCTGATGAAGGGTTCGGGCATGTTTTTATGTTTCTGAAATAAATCTTTTTTAAAAGAAGTAAAAAGGCCGGGCACAGCGGCTCATGCCTGTAATCCTAGCACTTTGGAAGGCAGAGGCGGGCGGATCATGAGGTCAAGAGTTCGAGACCCCAGCCTAGCCAACAAAGTGAAACCCTATCTCTACTAAAAATACAAAAATTAGCTGGGCATGGTGGTGCACACCTGTAATCCCAGCTACTTGGGAGGTTGAGGCAGGAGAATCACTTGAACCAGGAGGCAGAGGTTGCAGTGAGCCAAGATCACATCATTGCACTCCAGCCTGGACAACAGAGTGAGACTTTATCTCAAAATAAAAAAAAAAAAAAAGTAAACAAATTTGTTTTAGAGAATTTTAATTATTTTTTCTAGATTTTTATATTTTTGGGATTTTAGACTTCAGGGATTTTGACATTTCAGGACTGCAAGTCTTTCATGATTTGACCCACTTCCCCGCAGAGCCTGCCTTCCTGGCACGGGCCTTAGAGCATCAGGCAGAGGCTGAGGCAGGGCCTGGCCTGCATCCAATGGTCACCCTTCCCTTATTCCTCCTCTAGGAAGGAACACGGTGCAGAGAGCCCGGGCAAGCAGTGAGGACCTGACCACTCATGTCCAAGGGTGGTGCTGAGCAGAGGGGAGGGCCAGAGTGTCTGCCCAGGTTTCCCTGAAGCCAGGAACCACGGAGGAGGGGGTGGGCAAGAGAAGGGAGCCGGTGGAGAAGGAGGAGGAGGGAGTACAGGTGTGGACTCTGCAGGGGGACAAAGGGCCATCAGAGAAGGAACAAGGCGCCCCTGTGCTCACCTCGCCAGCTGGAAGTTGGCCACTCCTCGCTGGAAGAAGCCAACGGCCATGCAGGTGTCTTTGGTCACTGCTTGGTCAAATGCCTGGGAACAGAAATGCCCACAGAATGCCCAGGTGTGTAACCTGGTCACATAGTATCACAGATCCCGTGTGATCAGTGACAGGGCCACAGAATTCCATCAGCTCCTGGGGAGCCCCCACAGCCCCCCTGCACCTGTCCAGGGGCCTTTGGGTTCCCTGCCTGTGCAGGGCTGTCACCACTCAGGCGGCCTGCCCAACCCCAACCTGCCCAGGGTGCAGAGCTCATTGAGGTGCTGCTGACACCGATTTGTTCGCCATGAGCACAAGGACAGAGGCCAGAAAAAAATGTTCCAGTATGTTAATAATAGTCAATTCTGGGGAACAGGGTTATGCAAGATTGTTGTCTTTTTAAAATCCTTTTTTATGAGATGGAGTCTCACTCTATCGCCCAGACTGGAGTGCAGTGGCGCGATCTCGGCTTACTGCAACCTCCACCTCCCATGTGCAAGTGATTCTCCAACTCCTGACCTCAGGCGACCTTGGCTGTCACTGGAGATAAGATGACACAGCCCAGATCCCAGAGTCACCAGTTAAGAACTGCATTACAGGCTGGGTGCGATTGCTCACTTCTGTAATACCAGCACTTTGGGAGGCAGAGATGGGCAGATCGCCTGAGGTCAGGAGTCCAAGACCAGCCTGGCCAACACAGTGAAACCTTGTCTCTACCAAAACTACAAAAATTAGCTGGGTGTAGTGGCGCATGCCTGTAATCCAAGCTACTCAGGAGGCTGAAGCAGGAGAATCACTTGAACCTGTGAGACAGAGGTTGCAGTGAGTCAAGATCGTGCCACTGCACTCCAGCCTGGGAGACAGAGTAAGACTCTGTCTCAAAAAATAAACAAATAAAATAAAAATCCTTTTTTGGTAGTTCATGCAAAATGACACACTAGATATCTGATAGAATAAGAAAGAACAACACAAATTTTTTTTTTTTTTTTTTGAGACAGAGTTTCGATGTTGTTACCCAGACTGGAGTGCAATGGCACAATCTCAGCTCACCGCAACCTCCGCCTTCTGGGTTCAAGCAATTCTCCTGCCTCAGCCTCCCGAGTAGCTGGGACTACAGGCGGGTGCCACCATGCCCAGCTAATTTTTGTATTTTTAGTAGAGACGGGGTTTCACCTCGTTGACCAGGATGGTCTCGATCTCTTGACCTCGTGATCCACCCACCTTGGCCTCCCAAAGTGCTGGGATTATAGGCGTGAGCCACCCCGCCTGGCCACAACACAAATGTTTTAATGGGTTTGTCTGTGTGTAAAGCACAGTTCTTCCTTAAACCAGACTCAGAGGACTTTGTACGTTCTGAACGGGACTGTGGCCATCAGTGAAATATGTGTGACAGGGAGGGTGCCGTGGTCTCACTCTCACAAATCTGGCTGAGTGAGGCTTGTTGTTGAACTGAGTTCACACAGGTGTGAAGTGTGGTGGCTGAGCGACTAACGTAGGCTGGCTGCTCAGGCCGGCAGAACATCACGAAAGGCTCCTACCAAGAGCAGCAGTTCCAGCAACAAGCTGTGCACCCTGGCCTGCCTGGCAGGTGGTCAGCTTTATTAATCATAGCTGTTCCATCTGCTTTTCTAAGTTCCCATATTCCTCATATGCATATGTTTTGGTCTGTCCTATTGACTCTAACCGAGTCCCTTCTCTTTGAGAAACCACGCATATGAGCACCAGGTGACTGAGCTGGCCCTAAACATAGGTTTCATTGCTAAACTACCTGGTGTCCAATGATTACATTCCCTTTCTTGGATAATCTTTTAAAATGAAATCATTGTGGGGTGAGCAAGGTGGCTCACATCTGTAATCCCAGCACTTTGGGAGGCTGAGGTGGGTGGATCACTTGAGATCAGGAGTTCAAGACCAGCCTGACCAACGTGGTGAAACCCAGTCTCTACTAAAAATATAAAATTAGCCCGGCATGGTGGTGTGCGCCTGTAATCCCAGCTACTAGGGAGGCTGAGGCAGGAGAATTGCTTGAACTCCGGAGGCGGAGGTTCCCCTGAACCGAGATAGCACCACTGCACTCCAGTTGGGCAACAGAGCAAGACTCCGTCCTTAAAAAGAAAATACGAAATTTCTGTGGAGGTGACTGTAAAGTTGTAAGCAAATGTGAGAGACAAAGTCGGGGGGGGCGGGGGGAGTCTCCTGTGCTTTGCCCAGTCTCCTCCAAGGGGTATATGTTGCGGGTCAGGGACGTGGAGACCCTCCCCAGCGCGCAGTTCCCTATCCTCTTCATCGCTGCTGTTACCGAGCCTTCAACAGCGTGGGCACCTGCCTGCTTCAGCGGGGCGCGGGACTGAGGGGCGGGGAGGGGGGCAGCGCTGGCGTTTGGGATACGCAGGAACAGGCGGCCCCGGAACGCGGGCGGGCGGGAAGGGCAGTGGGCTCCGTGCAGGGCCTCGGCCGCTGCACCCCGGGCTCCGGGCTGTTTCGCCTGGAGCACCCCCCTGGCGTAGGCCGGGGGTGGGGGGCGGCTGAGGGCCCATTTGAGGAGCCTGACCCGGCCTCCCGGCCTTGACCACGGGCGCAGCGCTTTCCCCTTGGGGCAGGCGGCCCCACGGCCCTCACCCAGCCCAACGGCTTTCCGCTTCCCGGTGTGAGTCACCCTCCGCCCGGGCCTCTCCCGGTGACCGCCGCGCCCCTCAGCCCGACCTCGCTCAGCTCCGGTGCTGCCCAGGCCGCTCGGCTCCCACCGGCGGGGAGCGTTCGCTGGGTCGGGGGTGGCAGGGCGACCCCTTGACCGCCGGGGGCGTGGCAGGACCCCCCAGGGGCTCGGGGCGGAGGCGTCGCGCGCACCCGCCTCCCTCGTCCGACTCACCCGCAGCGCGGCCTCGGCGTCCCCGGCCAGCAGGTGCACGCAGCCCGCGTTGAAGCACAGCCTGGCGGGCGGCGCCGGGACTCCCGAGAAGAGGCGCAGGGCGCCGGCCCAGTCCCCGCGCTCCACAGCCTGCGCGCCCAGGTGCCAGGCGCGCACAAGGTCCCCCAGCGAGGCCATGGCGGCCCCCGCGGCGGAAGGCGGCGCTCGAGGAGGGGCCGGGATCCCACGTAGAGGCCCGGCCGAGTCCAGGCGGCGGCGTTGGGCTGCGAGGCCTCGGTGGCGGGCAGAGGAGCGGGCGCCGCGCGCCAGGTGCGACCCCGCTGTCCCGCGGCGCCCCCTGGCGGCCGGCGCCCGCCCCTTCCCGGTAGGGCCACACCCCCGCCCCGGGACCTCCTGACCACGCCTCCACCAGACGCGGCCACGCCCCCACCAGCCCTCATGCCCCGCCCACCCCGCCCGAGACCTACTGGCCACGCCCGCTCCCGCTTCTCAGGCCACGCTCTCCACCCATTCGGCCCCGCCTCGGCCGGACTTCCGCCGGGAGCTTTGTGCACCGGCTTCTCCGCCCTGCCCGCGTTGGCCTCGGTGCGCCGGAGAAAGTGCTCCCGGCCAGCTGCTGCAGGCGGGCCAAGGTTCCGCGCCGGGCGTGGACGGTGTGGGGCGGCCCCGGTCCCGCAGGTGAGCGACTCCGGGCCGCGCGGGCCAGGTGGGCGGCCTGAGCGCCTAGGGCAGAGCGGGGCCGCGCCGGGTGCGCGTGCTGAGGTGGGGGCCGCGGCGGGCAGTGAGCCGGGGTGGGGAAACTGAGGCCCCGATGGGGCGGGAAGGCGCGTTCTCCCGCAGGGCCCCGCTCCGGAGGCGCCGGGGAGCCGGAAGCCCGGGAGCTGAGTCGACCCCCAGTCCTGCCGGCCTGTCCCGCGGGGCCCGCCTTCTCGGCGCTCCCGGGCCCAGGAGGCCCTTCACTCCCTCGCCGAGGAGGGGCGCGCCCGGGGCAACCCGGCTTCCTGCCAGCGGCCCTGGGTCCCGTGTGAACTGTCAGCCTGAAATCATGAAACGGGTCAGCATGCGGCGCCCTGTGGGTTTATTCAGGCAGAGGTCGAGGGCGGTCCGGCTTACCAGGTGCACCGGAGAACAAGACGGAGGCTCCGGTGGTTAAAGGGAAGAGAACCCGTCGCAGAGCAGGTGGCTTCGAGTTGCCCGGGAGTTCTCACTGGTCGTAGGCGGGGTCCTGATTCGCGACTGGCCACGGCCAGGTGTCCTCAGTCCGGAGCCTGCGCGGCAGTGTGAGTTCCTGCGCTCGGGGTAGCGAGAGCGCTGCGGCTGGGCCCTTAACGCCAGGCTCTCTGGGCCCACATTTAAAAGGGCTTTGCATTGCTCAGATAAATGACTTCTTTCTCATTTGCCTTGCTTTTGATCAAAGTCTTTCTTCTTGAAAGCATTGATTGTCAAAATCTGAGGGTCAGAGTGTCCCCTCTTGCTGGGGAGGCTCATTCCCAGAGAGTCGTAGCCCATGTCAAGCAGGAAAGGAGGAGACGTTTCCGTGGGGATTTTTTTTTTTTTTTTAACACCAAATACTGGCTCAGCACGGTGGCTCACACCTGTAATCCCAGCACTTTCGGAGGCTGAGGTGGGCGGATCACGAGGTCAGGAGGTTGAGACTAGCCTGGCCAACATGGTGAAACACTGTCTCTACTAAAAATGCAAAAATTAGCTGGACATGGTGGTGGGCACCTGTAATCCCAGATACTAGGGAGGCTGAGGCAGGAGAATCGTTTGAACCCAGGAGGCGGAGGTTGTAGTGAGTTGAGATCACGCCACTGTACTCCAGCCGGGGCGAAACAGTGAAACTCCATCTCAAAAAAAAAAAAAAAACCCCAAAACTGAATTGGAATGGCATCACAGGGTGGCAAACATGAGACCTCAGTGAAGTCATTAATTTATAGAGCTGCTGTCATCTGTTGAATCATCTCTAGTTTCTAGAAACACCGTAATTTTCGTTTTCTCAGAAGTAACACATAGGATTATAACCAATTTGTATGCCAGGATGAGAAAACCTGTTCCATTAGGGACACAACTAAAAACATGAAGAAACTACCCAGCCAGGCTCTTCTTTAGAGACTCGTAGCCAGAAGATTGTTTAGGATTTAATCCAAATTTTAGAAGATAACAAATACAATGGTCAGGGCTAGAATTCAGTTACAGGTATGCTATAATTTTTCTCTGAAACATAAATTTTCTCTCTCTCTACTTCCCCATGTCTACCAAAGATAAATCTTGGTAAGACCAATTTACTTGTAAAATGAATTTTATGATTGCATTTGGCCTGATTTGCATGAAATACAACAACTGGTGATTGGCCATAGAGGCTCCTTTTTAAATTGGCTGGAACTTTGTCATAAGGAATTTCAGATTAGACTATTTTTCCCCATGTCAGACAGGTAACGTGCTGATATCATAAGAAGGTTTGAGGGCAATGTATCTTAAACATGAGCCAATCATCGTGCTTATGAACTACAAAAGTGTCAGATTAGACCTTTAAAAGCCACTTGAGGGCTGGGCATGTTGCCTGTAATTCCAGCACTTTGGAAGGCCGAGGCAGGAGTATTGATTGATCCCAGGAGTTTGAGACAAACCTGGGAAACATAGTGAGACCACTGTCTCCACAAAAAATTAAAAATTACCTGGGCATAATGGTGCACGCCTGTAGTCCCAGCTATCAGGAGGCTGAAATGGGAGGATCACTTGAGCCCAGGAGATTGAGGCTGCAGTGAGCTATGATCGCACCACTGCACTTCAGCCTGGGTGACAGAGTGAGACCCTGTCTCTAAAGCAAACAAACACTTCTCATGTCTAGGAGGCCAAGCCAAGGACTGCCCATCACACTGTACTTATAATACTTCTATGAATTGTGGGGGTGAATGTCTCTCCTCCAGGTCCCAAACTATCTTGAAGTTCCTGGATCCCTGGATCTGTCAGAAAGAGACATTCTTTTTTTTTTTGAGTCTTGCTCTGTTGCCAGGCTGGAGTGCAATTTTTTGTATTTTTAGTAGACGGGGTTTCGCTGTGTTGGCCAGGCTGCTCTTTAACTCCTTACCTCAAGTGATCTTTCTGCCTTGGCCTCCCAGAGTGCTGGGATTACAGGTGTGAGCCACTGCACCCGGCCAACTCAGACATTTTAATGATTATGTACTACTTTCTTTTTTTTTTTTTTTTTTGAGACAGAGTCTCACTCTGTCACCATACTGGAGTGGAGTGGTGCCATCTTGGCTCACTGCAACCTCCCTCTCCTGGGTTCAAGCAATTCTGCCTCAGCCTCTCAAGTATCTGAGACTACAGGTGCACACCACCACGCCCAGCTAATAGTTTGTGTTTTTAGTAGAAACGAGGTTTCACCATGTTGACCAGGATGGTCTTGATCTCTTGATCTTGTGATCCGCCCACCTCGGCCTCCCAAAGTGCTGGGATTACAGGTGTGAGCCTGGCTGATTATCTGGTACTTAATTTAACATAACATGACTTTAAGATTTTAAATTACTAAAAAGAACTTTGAATTAAATTACTAAAAAGAATTGTTACACAGATACCCTCCCTATGTCTTCCACAGTCATCCTACATCTGAAGTAGCCTTGTGGCATCCAGGATGGTTATGAAGGGCAGGGCCTGTCTGGGTTTGAATTTTCCTACCAGGCACACAGCTCAGAACAGGGGACACAGTTGTGAAGACAATGCCTACAGGATCCAAATTGACCAGGAGGCAAAGCTGGGCCAGACAGGAGTAAGCCACTTTGAGTTTGGCTCTGCCTTGTGGCTGGAGGTCCAGGTGCCGAGCTCATGTCCCCAAGCTGCACTGTGGCCACCTCTCCAGACCTCAGAATCCAGAGGCTAAACCAAAGACACAAGCTCCAGTACAATGTGTGCAGGGCTGTAGGGAGCCCAACTGTCAGCCCTGACAGCGTGAGCTCACAGACACTTCAAGCAAGTATGAAACATACTACAAAAGCAACAGTTTTGTGACCTTAAAACATCTAGCAAAGACAGTATAAACCTGTCTGACTGGTAGACCCAGGCAAAAAAGAGTCTAAAATTATGTATGATACTGACAAGTCTGAAGACTTCCCTATTTATTTATTTATAGATGATGGGGTCTCACTCTGTTGCCCAGTCTGGAATGCAGTGGCACAGTCTTGGCTCACTGCAACCCCTGCCTCCCAGGTTCAAGCAATTCTCCTGCCTCAGCCTCCCAAGTAGTTGGGCCTACAGGAACGAACCACCATGCCTGGCTAATTTTGTTGTTGTTGTTGTTGTTGTTGTTTTTATTTTTAGTAGAGCAGGGTTTCATATTGGCCAGGCTGGTCTTGAACTCCTGACCTCAAGTAATCCGCCTGCCTCAGCCTCCCAAAGTGCTGGGATTACAGGTCTGAGCCACCACACCTGGTCCCTAATTTATTTTAATAACAATTTAAAAGCTAATTTTATTTACCAAATATTATCTTAGATCACATAGAAATATCATACATTTAATATATATATTTCATATAGTCACATAGAGGAATAACTTATAGCATTCATAAAGATTTTTCATTTGTCAGCTTTCAAATGTTTTTTATTTCCACTGACCTCTTTTAGTGCCCTAAAAATTGTTAGCTAAGCACCCTTAAATTTGTACTTGTAAAGGGATGACCCTTAGGTGAAGCAAGTAGAAAAAATTTACATGCTCGGCCGGGCACGGTGGCTCACGCCTGTCATCCCAGCACTTTGGGAGGCCAAGGCAGATGAATCACAAGGTCAGGAGTTTCAGACCAGACTCGTCAACATGGCGAAACCCCATCTCTACTGAAAATACAGAAATTAGCTGGGCACGGTAGAGCGCCCATAATCCCAGCTACTCGGGATACTGAGGCAGGAGAGTTGCGTGAACCTGGGAGGCAGAGGTTACTGTGAGCCAGGATTGCACCACTGCACTCCAGCCTGGGTGACAGAGCAAGACTCTGTCTCAAAAAAAAGAAAAGAAAAGCAGAGCTGTAGACCCCAGGCGAAGCTGTGTGTGGCTCTGTACTCCACAGGAAGGAAAAAGACCGCAAAAGGGCGTGAATGGCCACGTTCTCTGGTTCCTTACGGGGTCTGCGTTATTGAAAGTCCCTTCTAGATTCTTTGATGTGGCATCAAAGACAATAGGAGGAGGGCGGAGGAGGGAAAGTAGAAGTAGGTGGGAGAACACTTTTCAGAGACAACTTGAGATTTTAAGCTTTGGAACGTCCAGTGGGGAAATTTTACAATTTTCTCAGCAAAAAGCAACCAAGAAGGAAGCAGACGGAGGGTCCAGATGTATAATTAAAAGGGGTTTTAGTTGAGACTAAAAAACATCCTAGGCTTCTGCTGGCTGGTCAGGTCCTGGGTTCCCTTCACTGAGGCTTTGAACAGAGCCACCTGGGCACCCTGCTCACAGCACCACAGCTGTGGGACTAAAAGAGGCCTCCCCTCACCCCTGAAGGTTTGCTGGAAAAATCAACTCACAAGGAGACTTTTCTGAAATGAGTCTTGCTCTGTCATCCAGGTTGGAGTGCAGTCACACAATCTCAGCTCACTGCAACTTCTGCCTCCCAGATCTGAGTGATTCTGCTGCCTCAGCCTCCCAGGTAGCTGGGATTACAGGCAGGCACCCACACACCTGCCTAATTTTT